TAACTACTTTCCACTCTGTCATTGACTGAATGACTGTAACGGTTAGTGCTACCATGCCCCAGACTTTGCTGTTAGGAAACTAAGGCCCACGGAGGTAAGGCGGTTTGGCCAAAGCCACACAGCCCTTCAGTGATGAAATCGATACTTGGTTTGAGATTTTTCTGGGTTGATCCATACAGCAGCTTGAGGGAATCCAAGAGAGAGGAGACAGGGAAGGATGCAGGGATGTCCCAGTTTTCACAGAAGACAGACACAATTGGTCCTCAGTAGGGGTGCTGAGGGAGATGATTGTGGTACTGTAGGCCTGTTGTCCTAGCACTTGACGAGGCAGAAAGGTTATGAATTTGAGGCCAGCCTGGGGTACATAGCTAGACTTTGTCCCAAAAGGGGGGAAAAGGAAGAAGAAGAAAGAAAGAAAGTGAATTGAGAAGGGGTCTGGGTGATGGCTTCTTGGGGGATTAATTACCTAATAGGCTTAATGGTCTTATTAGGCTACTTTAAGAGGATTGCCTTGGGCTCAGCAAAACCCCTTTATTCTTGACTTCTTTCCCATGCTTAGAAGGTCCAGCAACTCTACCCCATACTACCATCCTAAACATATTGGGAACCCAGAACCTTCATTCTGAAGGACCTGGGCTGAAGTAGGAAGGACTTAACACCTACCCCTCCCAGCACTATATATCCTTTTTAAAAATATATATATTATTTTTATTTTATGTGTATGAGTGTATTGCTTGCATGTATGTGAGTATACCCGTGTTGTGCAATGCCATGGAGATCAGAAGAGCGTGTTGGATTCCTCTGGAACTGGAGTTAAGGACAATTCGTAGCTGCCATGTGGGTGTTGGGAATTGAACCCGAATCTTCTGCAAGAGCAGCCGGTGCTCTTAACCATTGAGCCGTCTCTCCAGTTCTGATCTCCTTATTTTTTATAATACTGAGGGTAAAGCACAGGGCCTGAAGAATGGTACTGGAGGCACTGTACCACTGAGCCACACCCCTCCCCTCACTAGGGGATTCTAGGTAGGGTCTCTACCACTGAGTCACACAGACACCCCCATCACTCTATAGCAATTCTTTTTTTTTTCTTTTCTTTCTCTTTTTGAGACAGGGTCTCCCTGTAGCCCCAGCTGTCCTCGAACTCACAAAGATCCACCTGCCTCTGCCTCCCAGTGCTGGTATTAAAGGGGTGTGCCACCACACCCAGCTTAGTTCTTCTTTATTTTAATTAAATTTCTTGTGTGTGTGTGTGTGTATGTGTGTGTGTGTTTCCAAGCACACCACCAACACAGCAGTTCTCTTTCATGGGCTCTGGAAGGCAGCTTGCTCACCACTGCCCCACTTGGTGTTTCGTGTGAAACAGTAAAAAGTCTTCCTTTGTTTAAAAGAACATGTTGAAAATCGTGGGGGACAATTTAGACTCGACAGCAGAATGTCCCTTCTCCTCTTTGTCTTCCCACCTTTCATTCCAAACCTACTGTGTGCTGTTACACTGTCCAAGAGACACAGGGGCTCATTCTATTGATTTGGTCCTTAGTGGCCCTCCATGACAAATTGTTCTGAGTATATGAAGCAAGGTGGGAGACGGGGAGTCTGTCCCCTCGTCAGAGTTCCAGGAAAGCTTTAAGAAATAATATTTCAGTGGAGCTCCCCCAAAAGGATAAGATAGGGAGAAAAGTGCCAGGCAGAGAGAATGTGCAAAGGCCCTGAGGTGGAAGGGAGCAGGAATTGTTTGAAGACCTAAAAGGACATTGAGTCTGGTGCCCATAAATGAGAAAGTTAAGGGGGGGGGCAAAGCACAAAAGGCCATCCATTGAGAAGGCTGTAGAGTTTCTACCTTGGGAGGCCTTGGGGCTAGAAGGTAGAAAGAGGTTAGAGATTTGCCTTAAGGATGCATTAACTAGATGGTTTACATGTGACTGCATTACCGAGGGCATTGGTCTATAAAATAAGAACACCTAGGGGCTGGCAAGATGGTTCAGTGGGTAAAGGAGCTTGCCACTAAGCCTGACAACCTGAGTTCAATCCCTGGGACTCACCTGGTGGAAGGAGAGAACTGATTCCTACAGGTTGTTCTCTGACCTCCACAAGTAAGCCTAGCCTAATCAGCAAGTTCCAGAGCAATAAGAGATCCCATCTCAAAAAAACAAGGTGAACTGGATGTGGCGATGCATGCCTTTGATCCCAACACTCAGAAGGCGGAGGCAGGTGGATCTGTGAGATTGAGGCCAGCCTGATCTACATAGCGAGTTCCAGGCCAGTGGACAGCTCCTGAGGAGTGACAGAGGTTGTCCTGTAGCCTTCTCGTTTGTGTGTACACACATACACATACGTGTACACATACGTATACACATGCATGCACCCTCACCATACACACAGACACAGACACAGAAAACAGTCCAGCCTTCATCCATCCCCCCGTCATTGCTCCCTGAATCAGCCCACTGTCCCTCACGTTCACAGTGACTCCTTTCACAACACCCACTTCTATCACCTTTTCGCTTCAAAGTCTACAGCTGTCACAAGTATCAGAAGAATACTCTTGTTTTGTTTTGTTGAGACAGGGTCTCCTGTAGCCCAGGCTGGCCTTGAATTATTATGTAGTCAAGGATGGCCCTGAAGTCCTGTTCCTCTTGCCTCCTCCACCTGCCAAGTGCTAGTATTATAGTTGTATGAACTCAGGGTTTCATGCATGCTAAGAAATCACTCTAGGGTCTGAGCCACATCCCCAGCTCAGAGGAATGTACTTTAAAAAGAAAAAAGCTTTTTCTTTTAACATTCTGTTTATTTATTTGTGCGTGCGTGTGTTTCTGTATGTTCCCACACGTGAGCATACCATGGCATGTATGTGGAGGTCAGAGGATAACCTGCTGGAGTCAGTTCTTCCATCCCACCTGTGGCTCTCAGGGATCAAACTGAGCTTGTAAGGCTTGGCACCAAGCACCTTTACCCACTGACCATTTCACTGGGCTCCAGAGCAGTGTTTTTATTTTATTTTATATGTATGAGTGTTTTGCCTGCGTGTATGTAAGTGCACCCATGTTGAGCAATGCCAGAGTAGGCTAGAAAATGGCATCAGATTCCCTGGACCTGGCGTTAAGGATGGTTGTGAGCCTCCGTGTGGGTTCTGGGACCCAAACCCAAGTCCTCTGCAAAAGCAGCCTGTGCTCTTAACTGCTAAGCCATCTCTCCAGGTCCCAGAGGAGTATTCTTAAACCCAAAGTTAGATCATATCCCTTTGATGCCCTATCTTCTTTGCATAAGAGCTGGCATCACTGTGGCCCTCAAGCCTCTCCACCCCACCATCACCAGCAGCCCCTTTGTCCTGTTTCCCCCCCACTAACCCATCTCTCAGCCACCTTGTTCTTCTCTGAACTCATACCAACTGACCCCAGGGCCTTTGCTCATCCTTTACATAGCCACATTGTTCTGCTTCCCTCCATAATGATAATTGTCCAGAATATGGAGTATAGAGCCAGGGTGAGTTCAAATCTCAGCTCTGCATCCTACCTTGTCAGTGAATCCAGGATAATTTCTTCACCTTCATTTCTTCATCTGTAGAATGGGCTTCTTAATAGCAGGACCAATGTGAACATTGAAAGCACTGGTATATGTAAAGTGCGTGTGATGGAGTCCAGCGTCTTTTAAGTGGCACAGATGAATGATGACTAAGGATATGTTCTCAGGGCTAGGCCCAGATAACAACAGAAGCTAAGGCAAGAAGACCTTAAAGTTCAAGTCTTGCCTGGGATAGAGTGACTTCAAAGCCAATTTGGTCAACCCAGTAAGATCCTATCTCAAAAAAAGTAAAAGGAGGGCTGGGGTGTGACTCAGTGGTAAAGCACCTGCCTAGAATCCCCCAGTAAGGCGCTGGGGTGTGGCTCAGTGGCAGAGCCCCTGCCTAGGATCCCCCAGTGAGGGGCTGGGTGTGGCTCAGTGGTAGAGCCCCTGCCTAGGATCCCCCAGTTGAGGGGCTGGGGTGCGGCTCAGTGGTAGAGCCCCTGCCTAGAATCCCCCAGTTGAGGGGCTGGGGTGCGGCTCAGTACTACACTACTTGCAGGAGGCCTAGGTTCAAACCCTAGTACCAGAAAGAAAATAAAAGTGTGATGCAAGGATGTGGTGTTCTTGGGAAGGGCTTTCCCGGCCTCCCTGGCCTTGGTATCTGACCTCACAGTCTTCTCCCCTCCCCAGTTCCTTTTTCCTGCTTCTTTTTGTTCTTTTACCACTTCCTCCCATCTGACACGAAATACAGTCTGTCTCCTCTTTAAAGAATGCAATTGTCTGAGCTCTTGCTTAGATCACTCAAATTCTTTTGGCCTTATTTGCACACAAAATCAGGGAGCTTTTACTGTTTTCTTCACGGCTGTTTCCCCACACTGGTGCCAAGTGTGTAGCAAGCAGGAGCTTAGTCACTGTTTGTTGAATGAATGAATGAATGAATGAATGAGACTAAGAATGTAGCTGTTTATAGAGTGCTCACCTAGCATGCATGAACTCCTGGATTTCATCTACAGTACCACATAAATTGGGCATGGTGGCACACATTTGTAATCCCAGCACTTGGGAAATAGAGACAGGAGGATCAGAAACTCAAGGTCATCCCTCAGCTACATAGTGAGTGTGAGGCCAGCCTGAGCTACATGACAACCTGTGTCAAAATCAAGAAGTTGAATGAACCTATGAGCATGGTGGTGTATACCTTTAATCCCAGCACTTGGGAGGCAGAGGCAGGCGGATCTCTGGGAGATTCAGGCTAGCCTGGTCTACATATTGAATTCCAGACCAGTTGGGGCTACAAGGAGACCCGGTCTCAAAAAAAAAAAAAAAAAATTGAACAAAGATGGCTCTGTTCACATGCTTATGGCAGTTGCCAGGGTCACAGCTCCCCCGTGTAGCTGTGATTTCCTCTACGTGTCCCATCCTTGTGAACTTCCCTGGAGGTACCTTCCTGAAGGGGAACCCCTCCCTCGCTGATTCCCTTCCCCCCTTGTGCCCTGCAGAGGAAGGCGAATACTTCCTGAAGGTGCTCATCCCCAGCTACGCAGCAGGCTCCATCATCGGCAAAGGTGGCCAGACCATTGTACAGTTACAAAAGGAGACGGGAGCCACCATCAAGCTGTCCAAGTCCAAAGACTTCTACCCAGGTGAGTCACAGACGTGCCCCCAGATGTCTTGGCTGGATCTGGCTCTCCTCCTCCCTAGGCCCTGGGTGTGAGGAAGGACTGCACAGGGTTGAGGGTCTGACCTCTCCTCCTTTTAAAGAGGCTGAGCCGCCTTCAACCCAAGGGGCCTGGCCTGAGCAGATGGGGGTGGGGGCAGGGCCAGACAGTGAGCTTCTGCATATTCATGGTGTCATTTGCATGATGCCCAGCAGTTGTGTCCCTTCCCACACACCTGCTGCCTCTGGTCATGTTGGAGCAGCCAGAGTGGGAAGAGAGGCAGGTGTCAGGGCTGGGTGGGGACAGCCATTGGGGTTACCTGTACCCTGGTTTTGTTGGGATGTGTTACCCCAACTTGCATCTAGCTTAATCTCCTGGCTTTCTGCTTCTGAGTCATTTCAGGGGAGGGGCGCTGTTTTATTTTGTTTTGTTTTGTTTTAACCAGGTTTCATATAGCCTAGGCGGGCCTAGAACTTCCTAAGAAGAACCTTGAACTCCTAATCCCCGTCTTTACCTCCCAAGTGCTAGAATTATTTATTTATTTATTTATTTATTTATTTTTATTTTTGTCTTTTTTTTGTTTTTGAGACAGGGTCTCCCTGTAGCCCCAGCTGTCCTGGAACTCACTCTGTGGACCAGGCTAGCCTTGAACTCACAGATATCCTCCTGCCTCTCCTCCCGAGTGCTGGGATTAAAGGCGTGCGCCACCATGCCTGGCCCAAGTGCTAGAATTATAGGCATGTCTGCCATGCCAGGTTGTGTGAGCATGTGTGTGTGTGTGTGTGTGTGTGTGATTTTGAGACAGAGTCTCTCTCTGTAGCCCAGGCTGGTCTGAAACTTTCAGTCCTGCTTCCTCGGCCTCCCTGGTGCTGAGATTTACAGATAAGCACCACCAAGCTGGGCTTGAGGCTTCTACAGCCGTTTCTGCCTGTTCTGTCTTTTGTGCCCCTCAGCCTATCTCTACCCGGACCTGCCCCTCTCTCTGCTTCTGAGGCTCCCATCCTGTCCATCTGTTTGTCCTTCTGTCTGCCATCCCCTTTTCTCCCCCTTCCTTTCTGCCCTCCCATCTCCCTCTTTTCCTTCCAGATCTCTCAGGATCCCACTTTCCTCTTCCCCTCCTCCTCCCCACCCCTTCCCTCTCTTCCACTTCCCTTTCTCCTCCACTTCCTCCCCTTCTCCTCCTCTTCATCTTCCTCCTCTCCCACCTTTCAACCTTGCTTTAACCTGTTCTTAGCATGAACTCTCTATGTGGGTCACTCACTGCAGGTGCTTCTGTCCTTTGACTCTGCACCTGGTCCTGCTTTCTGGCCTCTGTTCTCTTTTTAGATGTCTTTCCTACCTCATCTCAGCGTCCCCATGCTGGGGGTCTTTTCTCTCTAAAACCTCCTCACTGCCTCTTCATCTCTTTTCCTCTCCATTACATTTTTTGGTTTGAGACAAGATCTTACGTAGTCCAGGCTGGCCTCAAACGCACTGCGTAGCAAAGGATGAACTTGAACTCCTGATCTGCCTGCCTCCACCTTCCAGATGCTGGGATTAGCATGTGCCACCATGCGCAGTTTAGGCAGTACTGGGGATCAAACCCAAGGCTTCGTGCATGCTGGATAGTCACTCCATCACTGAGCAACACTATATCCCCACCCCCAACCACACATTTTAAAGCATCCCTCTACTCCCTGTAACCCCTCTCAGTAGCTTTCATACCTTTATCACTCCCTCCCAAGGGGAGTAGCTGAGCTTTGATCTCTAGGAACCCAGGGAAGGCCCTGGAACTGTATCTTTAGTCCAGCCCTGGTTCTAGTTTAGTCTTAATCCACTTGGATTTTTTTTTTTAGGTCACACACCAGAGAGATGTAGCACAGGGTCTGAATCAATCTCTCTCTCTCCCCCTCCCTCCCACCCCCTTTCCCTCCCTTCCTCCCTTCTCTCTGTCTCTCCCTCCCTTCTTCCTTCCTTATCCCCCCTCTCTTCCCACTTCCTTTTTCTGCCCCCTCCCTCCCTTCTCCCCCTCCTTCCCTCTCTCCCTCCCACTCCTCTTTTCCTCTTTCCTCCCTCTCCCCTTTCCTCTCCTTCCCTCCATTCCCCCATTCCCCCCTTTTCCCTTTCCCCTTCTCCCTCCCCTCTTCCCTCTCACCTTCTCCTCCCTCTTTTCCTCTCTGCCTCTCTGCCTCTCTGCCTCCCATCTCACTAAGCTGCTTTGACAGAGTTCAGAGAAAAATCTAGTAACCCAGGTGCCCTGCCTCCTTTCCCCAGCCATCCTGGCCCAGTTTCCTCTGTCCCCCTCTAGCCTGCACGATGTAGGTAAGACCTCTGCTTGGGACATTCATCTGAGGACACTTGGCTCCTTGCCTCTGCATCACATTCTGTGCCATGAGATGTGTCATTCCATCCTCCCAACCCAGTGCCTCATCCTGGAGGCCAGGATGCTGAGATACCCTGAAGACAGGACAGTCCTTGACTTTCCTAGACCAGACACGGTACAGACAAACAAGCAATGCACCGTGAGCTCGTGTCTCTCCCCAGTCCATAGACAGATGACCAGCCCTTGGCATGGAACTTCCAGACCATATAACAGGGCCAGTTCCTGAAGCAGTGACACAGGAAGCAGCTCCTGCTAGCCCAGCCCTACCTGTCCCTAGGAGCCCAGGCAAGAGACTGACAGCATATTTTCTTGAGCTCCTGGTTGACATCTTTTCATTCAGTCACTCAACACACATTCTCCTCCTCTGTTTCCGGGGCTGGACATACATGGGGACACAGCAATGACAGAAGTGTCCAGCTTTGCTCTCTTGGATCTCAAGCCAGGGAGACAGAACCCATCCACACGGATGATAACCTGGTGTGACCAGAGCTGGAACAGGAAGGTCAGGGAAGGTTGGAAGCCCAGCCATCATATGATACAGACTAGGGAGGCCAAGCAGGGCTGCCTGGAGGAAAAGCCTCCAACAGTGAGTATAAGTGAGCGAGGGAGGGGTACAGAAGAGACTCCCAAAGAGCCAGGGATCCCCACAGGCTGGGAGGTGGTCTGTTGCAAGGTGTAGAAAACAGACAGGAAATAACAGCAGAGAGACAGAAGTGTGACAGTGTAGACCAGGTGAGGAGGTAGAGATCTGTACAGAGGCAGGAGGGTCACAAGTTCAGGACCTGCCCTGGTAACTTAGTAAGACCCAGTATCAAAATAAAAACTTAAAAAATGGTGACTGGGGTTGTGGCTCAGTGGTAGAGAGGTTGCCTAGTCTACCAATGAGAGGCTAGGGATGTGGCTCAGTGGTAGAGCACCTGCCTAGAATCCCCTACTTAGGAGCCAGGGCATGGCTCAGTGGTAGAACACCTGAGTAGACTCCACCAATGAGGGTGCAGAGCACAGATTGTTGGTACAGCACTTGCCCAGCACGTGAATGGCCCTGGGAGTTCAATCCTCAATACCAACAGAAAACAAAGAATGTGGTACTAGGAGATTTTCACACATACGCATATGCGCACACACACACCACACACACACCAAACTTGTGGGTCTATTCCACAAGGCTTTCATCTCAAAAGAGGGGTTGGAACACACAAAAGATGCCCCCACTTTGGTAATGGATCCCCAAAGCCCAGGTTCAATCCTTTGAGGTCTTTCATGATGAATCTGAGACCCAGTGTCCTAGTTTACTGTCCATTGCTGTGACAAAAAACACTGACCAAAACCAACTTGGGGTGGAAACGGTTTGTTGCATCTTGCTCTTCCAAGTGACAGTCCATCACTGAGGGAAGCCAAGGCAGGAAACGAAGGAGAGCAGGAATCTGGAATTGAGGCTGGGACCACAGAGGACTTCTGCTTACCAACTTGCTTTCCTGGCCCGTACTCAGCCTGCTTTCTTTCTCTCTGTTTGGGGGATGTCTTTTTTGAGACAGGGTCAAAAGCCCAGCTGGGCTGGAACTCACTGTGTAGACCAGGCTGACCTTGAACCCATAGAGATCACCTGCCTCTGCCTCCCCAATGCTGGGATTAAAGATGTGCGCCACCACTCCCAGCTTTTAGCCTGCTTGCTTGTATGCCGCAGGACCACCTGCCCAGAGGTGGCACCACCCACAGTAGGCTGGGCCCTCCCATATCACTCAACGAAATGCCTCACAGACATGCCCACAAGCCAGTCTTATAGAAGAAATTCCCTAATTGAGGTTCCCTCTTCCCAGGCGTGTCAAGTTGGCAACTGAGTTTTTCTGGCACACCCAGAAAGAGGTACCCACCCAAGGCTTCAGACTCCTGACCTCTCCAACTCCCTAGTAACACTAAAACACCTTCAGATTTGTTTGTCTGTATGAAAGACTCAGCCCCCAGAAGAAAAGCAGAACCACACACGATTGTCTTCATAATTTTTTTTTTTTGTCTTTTTTTGAGACAGGGTCTCCCTGTAGCCCTAACTGGCCTGGAACTCACTGTGCAGACCAGGCTGGCCTTGAACTCACAGAGATCCACCTGCCTCTGCCTCCCGAGTGCTGGGATTAAAGGTGTGCGCCATCACTCCTGGAGTCTTCAGAATTTTTATTGATTTTTAACATATTTACACCAAAGTAAAAAATCTTAAGTGCCTACAAAATAAATTCAC